GTTTCGTTTTGTTTTTATTCTCAGTTGAATGTAGGAAGTCAACGTGAAACACAAAAAAATACCTCGCGACCACTTCTATTTTTATACCCGAGCGCACTTGTGCACAAGGGTTTATTAATTTTGTTCACATAACGGTTGTTTGTAACAGCCAAAACGAATCGAGATAGATATAGACAAATGTATACATAAATGATCAGGATGAAAAAAGAAATCGATTAAGCCATGTCTGTCTGTCCGTCCGTCTGTCCGTCCGTCCGTGTACACGATAACTCGAGCAAAAATTGAGATATCTCAACGAAATTTGGTATGTAGGTTTCCCTTAGTCCAAGGTAGGTTGGTATTGAAAATGGGCGAAATCGGACTGTAACCACGCCCACTTCCCATATAACGGTCATTTCCAGAAATACGAAAACTGCGATATTTTAGTAACTACTGAATATAATTCACTCAAAATAGACATTTACAATAATTTTCAGACGAAAAATAAGAATATTATAAATTTTTGGAAAATGGGCGTAGCCACGCCCACTTATGGTTACATGTTTATAACTTGGTAACCGCTGCACCAATTTCTTCCAAACTTCGCAAGGTTGTTGGCCTTGGCGCAGCATACTAAACGGCCGAAAATTTAAAAAATCGGACAATAACCACGCCCACATCCCATATAACAGTAATTTTCGGAAATACGAAAACTGCGATATTTTAGTAGCTACTAAAGATTATTCACTCCAAATTAATATTTACAACAATTTTTAGACGAAAACTAAGAGTGTTATAAATTTTTGGAAAATGGGCGTAGCCACACCCACTTATGGTTACATATGTATATCTCGGTAACCGATGCACTAATTTCTTCCAAACTTTGCACAGCTGTTGGCCTTGGTACAGCATAAAAAATCGCCGAAAATTTTTAAAATCGGACGATAACCACGCCCACATCCCATATAACGGTAATTTAGGAAAATACAAAATCTTCGATAAATCAGTAAATATTGAAGCTAATTTATTCAAAATTGATGCTTGCAACAATTCTTTACCAAGAAATACGTTTATGGTAAAATTTTGGAAAATGGGCGTGGCACCGCCCACTTATGATCACATATAAGTATATAGGTAACCGTTCTACCAATTTGTACCAAACTCGGTGTGGTTATTGTGCTTGCCACATATAAGCAAAACGTTGAAAATTATTGAAATCGGACTAAAATTACGGCCGCTTTTCATATGACGGTAAATTTCAGAAATGCTTGAAACTTTAATATTTCGAAATTTAAGGACGCTAATTTACTCAAAATTGATACACCCCGGCTTACCATGTAGCGGTAGGTTTCGGAAAGGTGAAAAAACATATATTTAATACTTGCGCCGGGTATTTAATGTTCGGCTCCGCCCGAACTTAGACTTTTTTACTTGTTTAAAAGTGTTTTAAGTGTTTATCGCGACTGGGAATTTTTTTGTGGAAAAGTGTATTTATTATGGTGTGTGTATATCGTTTATTGAAAGAATTTAATTAATTGGAGTTTTAGAAGCAATTACGAAAACACCGCCCCAAGGCATTCTTGCCGGTTTAAGTGAAAATTAATGTTCTGTGTGGTTTGTTACTGACCGATAAAATTTTATAATTTTTAAGCAATGGAGTGTAGAAATGGCAGAAAATTTAACTTAAGTAAAATGAGCGCAGTTAATGGAATCAGTCGAGTTAGACGACGATGATGAAGATTTTAGTTAGTGATGATGAGTTGGAAGACCCGGATTACATGCCAGCAGAAATCTTTCCAGATGACGAACAAAATATTTCAGCATGCCTTCGGGAAAGGGACGATAGGTCTGATTTATTAGCTCAAACCTCCGAGTTTTCCATAAACATTAGCTCAATTGATGGTAGTATCTACTTCCACAGCAGTAAAACCAAAAAAAGAGCTCGATCTCTATCACCATCTGTTGAAATTGCTGGTCCTTCTGTCGTCCCTTCTTCTAGTGGTTTTACAGGAGAAAGTATGTATTTTTCACTGAAACTAAGGGTCTGATTATGCATACTTCGCATAACTTCGCACAACCATTTGTACCAGTGCACTAAAAGTGTGACTTAAGAAAATGTGAAGCAAAATCTAAACTCAACAGATCGCTAAGTTTTTAAAAGTTCTGCTAATTTCTGGGTAATGGAATACATACAAAATACATACAAGGTACATACGAAATTACAGTTTGAAGTTTATGCGAAGTTGGGCGAAGTTATGCGAAGTATGCATAATCAGACCATAAGATATTTTATTTAGAGATAAGACAAATATGATTTACAAATCTTGAAGCTATCTCGAAAAATTAAAGCGAATTTTCCAACACATTATGGCGAAAACAAAATTCGGTATTGAATGTGAATGAAATATCATTCCAAGGAAATTCTAGTTTACCAAGCGTCAAAGAACTTGAAACGCCAAAGCCAACTTTCTTTTACATTTTTTAAAGGGATTTTTTATAGGGATAAATTCGGTATTGAATGTGAATGAAATATCATTCCAAGGAAATTCTAGTTTACCACCAAGCGTCAAAGGACTTGAAACGCCAAAGCCAATTTTCTTTTACATTTTTTAAAGGGATATAGTTTCTTTAATTGCGGAAGAGACAAGTGGAGCGGCCTTCTCAAAAAATATCAACATCCAGTTCAAGATCAATAATGACGGAATCTACAAGTACATTGACATACTGCTTTACATGTATGTTTACCATTATCCCAATTTGGAAATTTATTGGGGAAAAAATGCTTTCACTCCGATTGAAAAGACGACGGCTGTATAACAGCCAACAGTGGACTTAGTGGATGATCTTATGGGGCGTTACCATATTCAAGTTAAAACTTTAAATCCAATGCCGAGACTTTTTTACCATTTTGTCGATAAGACTGGAAATAAAGTCATTGACGTTATTTCCTCATTCAAATGGAAATAGCGTCAACAATGCTTAAAGTATGTATGTCGATTCATAGAAAAAAATGTTGTTCTTACAATAAACATTGCCCCGTAAGTATTGTTTTTTAATAGATGACAAAGGTTATTGCCAAATCCTCAGTGTGGTGATATTAATCCACACACAATCATGAACTACCACCAATTTATTTTATTAAAAAAATTTAAATTGCGAATATGTAAAAACACTATGCGAAAAACTAAACGCAAAGCACAGCTGGAATACGAGAAATATTTGAAGAAATAGTGTAGAAATGATCCAGAACTTGCAAAAGATGTTTCGTTTCCAGAAAAAATAAAGCGAACACTATTAAATTGAAGAAACAGTCCATGTCCAAAAACCCCGGAGGAACACTGAAAGAATTCTGTGTTTTAAATTAGCATATTTTGAACGAATTCGGAATGTCTAAGGTGGTAAAGAGACCAACCTTTCTATAAGGAAACAATTATAGAAAAGGAATTTTCTTACACTGTATTCATGTTTCCGCCAACAATTTGTGACATCATTTAAAAGCAAGGCGAACGACGACACTATTTATTAGGTGGCACATTCAAGCCAATGTGCCAAAATGCGGGTATAAACAGTTATTGATTATTATTACGTTCCTGACTTCAAGAGCGTATTTTCAATTCAAAAAGGTTT